AATGTATATATGTATTGAAAGTCACACTGTACTCCATATTATGTACAAGTAGTATTATCAAATAAAACAATTTGAAACAAAAATAGAAATATAGAGCATTTCTGGGAGCATTGGTGCATGCCTATAACCCAGCAACTTGGGAAGCTAAGACAGGAGGATCACAAGTTCAAAGTCAGTCTTAGCAACTTAACAAGGTCCCTAAGTAACTTAGTGAGAACCTGTCTCAAATTAAATATAAAAAGGACTGGGGATGTAGCTCAGTGGTTCAATCCCTGGTACAAAAAAAGAATTAAAAAAATAAAGAAATAAAACCAAAAGAAAAAGAATGTAAAGAATGTAAAAATATTTTAAATAATAGTAATTAAATATAAGCTGTCAAAGCAATATTAACATCACATGAATCAGAGTATACACTAAGCAGGATGTGGTGACACATGCCTATAATCCTAGCTACCTGAGAGGCTGAGTTAGAGGACTACAAGTTTGAGGCCTGTCTGATTAACTTAAACCCTGTCTCAAAATGAAAATGAAAGGCATTGCAATGTAACTAAGTGGTAGTGTGCCCATGGATTCAATTTCTAGTACTGCAAAGAAAAAGATTAGATATACATAAAAATTATTAGGTCACTTCATGATATTCAAAGCTTCCATTTAAAAAAATAATTTCAAAACTAAATGCAATTATTTATCTTGCTTATCTGACTCTCCCAACTACTGCAGGAATTTTTGTGTTTGATTCACTGTTGTATCCCCCTGGCAACTAGAACAGTGTCTGACACATAGAAGGCACTCAATAAATATGTGTTAAATAAATGAGAAAGTAGCTCCAATACATAAAGTAGCAAGCTAACAGAATAATAAAGCATGTGCACAAATCCATAATTATAGCGGGAGGCATAAATTAGTAAGGATATGAAAGATTTGAATAGCATATTTAACAATCATGACCTAAGGGACATACAGAAAACATGATAATCAACAAAAGAATACACAATATTTTCAAGCATAAAGAAATAGTTACAGAAAATTGACATATGCTGGACCATTTGTGAAGTTTCAACAGATATATAAGAGGACTCAAATCAAATGTAACAAGTCCTCTGACCACAATGTAATCAAGCTAAAGTCAGTAACAAAGAGGTAACTAAAATAAATGCAAATGGTCCGAAAAGAAGAAATTTCTAAAACTCAATTAGTTCAAAGTACAAATCGTAACATAATTAGAACATACACCTAATAACAATAATATTCCATTGTCTAGATGGAATGATTTACTTATCCATTTACCCACAGAAGGGCATTTGATGGCTTTTAAGTGTTGGCAACTAACCACAAAGTTTCTATAAATATCCATGTGTACATTTTTGTGTGAACATAAGTTTCAACTCTTCTGGAACAAGATTGCTGGATTATGTGGGAAGAGTATGATTAGTTTGGTAAGAAATCACCAAATTATCTTCCAAGCAGCTGTACATTTTGTAATTAAAGAGAGTTCTTGGTGCCCTACAGCATGGCCCACATTTGATGCCATCAGTGTTTTGGATTTTGCCTATTCTAATAGTGAAGAGTGATATCTTATTGTTTTAATTTGCAGTTCCTTAAATATATATGATATAGAGCATCTTCTTTAAAAATACTATCTGTATACGTTTTTAGATGGGGTTGCTTGTTTTCTTACTTTTTTAGTTTTAAGTGTTCTTTGTGTATTTTGGATATGAATTCTTTGTCAAATATACCTTTTCAAATATTTTCTCCCATTCTATCTTCTTATCCTCTTGAAGGATTTAGTATTCTTAAATAGAAAACGTTACCCAGACTGAGATGTGGTATAGATTCAATGCAATCCATATCTGAACCCTAAAGGGATCTTTTGAAGATATTAACAAGACTAACCTAAAATGTATATAGAAATGTAAAGGCCCTTTAATAGCCAATCTGAGGGGGTACTGAGATTTGAACCCAGGGGCACTCTACCACTGAGCTACATCTTCAGCCCTTTTTATTTTTTATTTTGAGATAGAGTCTCACTAAGTTGCTGAGGCTGACCTGGAACTTGTTATCTTCCTACCTCGGCCTCCCAAGTTGGCCTGGCCAAAATAATTTTTATTTAAAAATTTTTTTTACCAAATAATTTTTAAAAAGAAGAAATTCAGAGGACATACCCCAATCCATTACACAATTTAGTATAAAACCTCAATCATCAAAATCATCATCAGGGGCTGGACGTGATGGTGAATGCCTATAATCCCAGCAGCTCAGGAGGCTGAGACAGGAGGATCATTAATTCAAAATCAGCCTCAGCAATTTAGTGTGATTGTAAGCAACCTAGTGAGAACCTGTCTTAAAATAAAATAAAAAGGCTGTGGCGGGTTCTCAGTGTTTAAGCACTGTTGGGTTCAATCCCTGGTCACCATCCCCCCAAAAATTGTCATACATGTGGCTGGGCATGGTGATGCATGCCTGTAATGCTATCAACTCTGGAGGCTAAGGCAGAAAGATCACAAATTTGAGGCCAACTTCAGCAACTTAGCAAGACTTCTGTCAAAATAAAAAATAAAAAGGACTAGAGATGTAGCTCAATAGTAAAGAACCCTGGGTGTTCCGTCCACAAAACCAATGAAAAAAGTTATCATCAACTTGAATCCACACAAAAACTCCACATGGATATTTATAGAAACTTTATGCTTAGTGCCCAGGTCTTGAAAGCAATCAAGATGCCCTTCTGTGGGTGAATGGATAAATAACCTAAAGTATATCCAGATAATGGGATATTATTCCATTATTGTGTATATGTTCTAATTACTCTATGATTTCTACTATGAACCAATTAAAGTCTTGTGAAATGTCTTCTTTTCTAAACATTTGTGTTTATTCTGTGGGGGGTTGGGAGAATAGTTCAGTGGTAAAGCACTTGCCTATTATGCAGGAAGCTCTGGGTTAATCCCTAGTGTCACCCCCCAAAACACAAACATACACACACACAAAAAAAAAACTACCATACTGGGGTAATATAGGCACACATATAGATGAATGAAATATATTTGCAAGTCCAAAATAATCTTCAATTGATTTTTGGCAAAGATGCCAAGGTAATTTAATGGGAGAAAGGGTGGACTTATTAATAAATGGTGCTGCGATAATGAGATATTCACAAGCAAAATTTAGACGCTTGACACACACAGAAATTAACTCCAAACAAATCACAGACCTAAATACACAAAGTAAAACTATAAAATTATAAAATTTCTGCCAGATGCAGTGGTGCACGCCTGTAATCCCAGCAACTCAGGAGGCCAAGGCAAGAAGATCACAAGTTCAAAACCAGCCTTAGCAACATAGTGAGCCGCTAAGCAACTTAGTAAGACCCTGTCTCAAAATAATAAATAAAAAGGCTGGGGATGTGGCTCATTGGCAAAGTGTCCCTGGGTTCAATCCCTGGTACCAAAACCAAACAAACAAAAAACTATAAAACCTCTAGGTTTTATTAAAAAAATTCTTCATGCCTTAGGTTAGGTAAAGATTTGTAGATGTGACACAAAAATGCTACCCATAAAATTAAAAATTATTAAACTAGACTATATAAAGATTTAACCCTTTAATGGAGGACAGTTCTAACATTTTCTTGCTAGCAATTCTCAAGAATAACAAAAGAATGTGTGGGAGTGCAATATCTGGAGGTAGCGAGAATATTCCTGAGCAAGCCAGGACTTATGCCTACCCTGCCTGGAAAATGTAGCATTTTGACATAAGGAAGAACTGCCTGGGACAGCCCAGGCTTGATTCCTCTCTCCTTGGAAGCAGGACATCACTCAAAACCTTACCAGGTAAGTCATATGGACCCTGAGGTAGATAAACCAGGTGGGTTACCCTTCCAGGTCTGTTAGCTTCGGTGTCAATGGGATGCATGCAATCAAGGTTCCATCCGTACCTGGCACCTTTTTTTTCCCCTCCAATTTTGGAGTTCTGGGATTAAACCCAGAGCCTCTCAAGCTAGGAAAGTGTTCTACCACTGAGTAACAAACAGCCCCAGCCCCTGCCAGTTTTCTTGAGTCTTGGGAAATTAGCTCACATGGATCTTAGGCTTCTGTTGATCCTTTCTGTCTATGTGAAGTAATAAGCCTGATCCATGTAACTTGTTGCGTATGTGTGTCCTGTCTCATCAGACTGAGTCACCTTTGTTCCCAGTGCATAGTGGGCGTGCTTCACAAAATTGGCACAGCTTTCTCTGCTTGCACTGATTGGGAAGGCAATGGCCTCAGCCTCAATATGCAGAACAACCCCAGGTGATATCATGAAGCTTCACCAGTATCCACATCATTGACCACAAGGACCACATGTTCATCCAGATGAACGTGGCCAATGTTGACAAGGTATGTGCAGGTTTAACTGCCAGTTTAAAATGTAAGCTATCTACAGAGTTATCGGCAGGATGAGTGACTCAGAGATGACTCCATTCTCCAACAGGCCCAGGCCTATGACATCATCTCAAAGAACTTCTGACTAGAGAGAATTGTGAATGTGGAATATTTGTCATGAATAAAAAGTGAGAAACAGAACAAGTAAACAAATTTTGGTATAGTGAACAGAAAGGGTCTGACAGACAGTAGCTCACAATCAAAAAGGAGGCAGGCACTGACTATCCACTAGTACCTGGCCTAGGATAGAGACCTCAGCCTGGGAACACAGGGCTAGACGTGCAGCTGGGTGACTGATGAGAAGGAAGTGTGATAAGTGGGACATAGGTCATTTACATAGACATACTCCTGCAGATGTGGGTGAGCTGACTGGGCCAGAAAGAAAGCAATGTGGAAATGGGTGCAAGGTGTACCCTTGATTGCTCATTTCAAGGGCTGAGAGCTTGGAAAGTGAGCACTCAGATGGACCTTGAGTTATGAGAAAGAGGGACTCAAATGGCCCTTGAAGCATCTGAGAGGGAACCAACACACACAACGTGGGTCTTCAAGAAAGGATACTCACTATCCAAAGGAAGGACATGGAGGCAGACCAGGGAAGTTTCATGCAGCCTGACTGGTGTGTTTGTTTGATAAAGAGGCATTGCAGATCCAAGTGCGTCTGTCTCAATAGTGCAAATAGAAATGGGGCCAAGGTCTCTGGGTCCTCACTGGAGGACAATGACCCTATACTTCTGTCAAAATAAAAGAGGAAATAAAAGGTGAATTCAGATTTTTCTGAGGTTCTTAGATACTGGAGCCCACACAACAGTATTTCCATTTCCCTTAGGAGAAAAAAATTAATCTGAAGACAGTGACAAGTTTTGGGATGGATGTGGTGACTTATACATGATGCTTATCTGGTTATTGACCTTATCTGTTTATTGGTGGGTCCCTGTGGGCCAGTCTGTGTGCCAGTGACTGTGATTCCCACCACTGAGAGCATTCTAGGCATTGAAATTTTGGCTGCTTGTGTCACAGGACATCACCACCCCTTGAGGGGGTATGCTCCTCACAGAGAGATCAAGCCACAACAGTGACACACATCTACTCTTACCTGCTCCTAAGCTACAAATGCAGTATTAAAAGCAGATCTTTCGGCTGATTTTATTTTAATTTAATTTTAGCTTTTTGAGATGGGGTCTTGCTATGTTGTTTAGGATGGCCTCAAGTTCCTGGGCTCAAGTGATCCTCCCACCTCAGCCTCCAAAGTATCTCAAGGCCTGTGTGTGCACCCAGTTGATATCCCCTTTTTGAATAGCAAACCCTTGCTTTCTGCACAGGCTCAACAGAACTCAATAATCAAATGGAAACTGTACGTTCATGATGGAACTTTATCTGGGCATGGTGGTGCATGCCTATAATCCCAGCTATTCAGGAGACTAAGACAGGAGGATTGCAAGTTCCAGGCCAGACTGGGCAACTTTGCAAGACCCTGCCTCAAAATAAAATTTAAAAAGGGCTGGGGATGTATCTTAGTAGTAAAGCAACCCTGGGTTTAATTCCCAGTATCATACATACAAAAAAAGATAGGGCCCAGCCAGGACCCCAAGAGACTAGTGGTCTCCATAAACAAATGACTAGTATACTAGAAGGGATGAAGCAATCCATAAAGGATGATCAAGCTCCTCCTGTGGCTACCTAGAGTCCAAGACTCAGAGTCATGTCTACCAACAATGTAACATGGTTTACTCGTGGCTTTGCGAACATTAAACATGGCTGCCATCTGCCAGTGACTGGCCATTCTTTGACTGACGCTGGACAGAAATATTCTGCCCAATGGCAGAACTGTATGCCAAACTACATACAGTGATGATGGCCATGCAGGCCACCTTTACCACCAAATCTTGCCAATACCCTAGCCATCTGATCAGAAGAATGGCAACTGAATGACTGACTACTAAAGGAACCCCAGTGTGCAGATGAAGACTATGGTAACAGCTTACTACCTGGAAGGGACAAAACATGTGTCACTCATATGGATGCTGGGACTGCAATGACAATGAGAGAAATATGTTACATTTTTGGATATCCCATGGGAGTTCACTCTTACCAAAAATCATCCTTCACTGTCCAAACAACATGACAATGGGCACACTCTCATGGAGTGTGATACATTATACCCTGTCATCCACAGGTCAACAGAGCTTTAAGTGATGGAAAATCCATCACATAGCAACTGAAGAATGAACATCAAATGGCTTTGTGGTGGAACGGCAACCTGTATGACAAGGACAGTATGGACATTAAGTACTTCCCTCCAATGCAAGGAAAACACAACCCTGAATGCATGGTGAGAAACACTGAACTTGGTCGGGGTGGAGGTAG